GATTGATAATTTTCAACACAGCTGACTCTTGACTCTATAGGTATACACTATTTCAGGAACCACGCATGACACAACAAATACTTCTTCAGTCCCTTGAGGTTGATAACCCTTTTTGGAAATCATAGGTTTTTTTCATTCAAAAGGACTCTATCATTCGTGGTTTTCACCCACGTGACTTTGGTCTTGACGATGGTTGCTATCTGCCATGTTGGTGCTCAAACAAATAGTTACAAATGCGCTTATAGTAAGGTGAAAGTGAGATAGAAGAAATGGTCCATTGCGTAGTTTTCAGCTGTGGCAGTAGAAGCGATTGGGACAAAGCGATTGAATTATATCAAATACCATCAGTTATAAAGAATAAGTCTGCCTTCGAAGAAGAATTGACCATAGAGAGGAAAGGAAAGTGGACACAAGCAATAAGTCGGGGCGACATAAAAGCAAAAGACGTTCTCAAAAATGAATGAGTATGTGGCAAGTATTTTGTGTGTGGAAAGCCGTCTCCTTACTGGGACAAGCACAATGTGGATTGGGTACCAACTTTGGAGCTCAGAAAGATAAGTTATGGCCGTGAGATAGACTATGAAGTGAGAGCAAAGAGGCAAAAAAGAGCGAAGAAAGGAGAGGAACATGCCATCAAGCAACAAGAACATGACGCAGCAGAGAAGCGTCAGAAACTCAGTGAAAGCAGTCTTCCTGTGGCCCAGATTGACTTTAATCAGCCAATCACCTCCACAGAAGAAGAAAAGGTGATCTTATGGCACGTGATGAAGGCAATGAGCCTGATGAAATCAGAACGAAAATTATAAGAGATGCTAAGTTCCAAGCAGACACAGAGTTAAAGGATTTGGAATGCCAAACCACTGAATTAGAATACATGTTTCAAAAAAGCACATATTGGGCACCGGATAAAGATTTCTTTAACTCTGATGAGAAGGTTTGCTTCTCTACTTGTCTACCTTCCTTGGAAGTACTAATGGTTGTGTTTGACCATGTAGCTTCACATGTGAAAAGGCAAACTCAGTCAATCAATAGGTTCCAAGAGTTTATTATTGTACTCATGAAACTTAGGCTTAATGTACCATTACAGGATCTTGCCTACTGTTTTGTTGTATTGATTTCAACTATTTCAAGAATATTTTTCCATTTGATTGTGGTAATGGACAAGAGACTGTTTCCCTTTGTTTACTGGCCAGACAGGTATCAACTTTGCAAGACAATGCCCTAGTGTTTCCAGGATGCCTTTGGCAAGAAAACAACTGTTGTCATCGACTGTTTTGAGGTGTTCATTGAAAGACCATCAAACTTGCTTACTAGAGCACAGACATTTTCCAGTTATAAACACCGCAACACTGTCAAGATTCTTGTTGGTATAACCCCCCAAGGAACGATTTGTTTTGGAAGCCTGGGGAGGTCATGTCTCTGATAAATTTGTGACTGAGAACTGTAGTTTTCTGGACAAGCTTCTTCCAGGAGATATGGTGATGGCTGACCGAGGATTTACCATTAGTGAAAGTGTTGTCCTCAAGCAAGCAAGACTGGTAATCCTAGCTTTTACAAAGGGCAAATCTCAGCTGGACCCAGTGGACGTGGAGCAGACTAGAGGAATTGCAAATGTAAGGATCCATGTGGAACGTGTGATTGGATTGCTCAGAGAGAAATTTACAATTTTCAAAGGTACCCTGCCAACTGACTATCTTTTATCTAATCACGAAAACTCTGATCGTCACACTCCACTGGTGGATCACATGATAAGAGTTTATGCAGCTCTTGTTAGCTTTTGTCCTCCTATTGTACCTTTTGATTAGGCAAACCTCCCATTCCAAATAGTTATGTTTTGTATGACTGAAGATAAAATTTAGAAACAAAGACACATGGAACTCTCCAGAAATGTGGATATTCCACTAAATATTCTTAATGTACTTTACCATTTGTTTAATTTGTAAACCTTGGATGTTACAGTGCAATTCAAAAAGTGGTGAACAACTGAAATATGCCGAATTGTTATTGTGAACATTGTTTATTACTTTTTCATCAAATTGTGTTCTATCCAGAATACCTTAATTAGGTTAGTGCTACTTGACTAATGCCCACATAGCTTATTTTGGTGTTGAGGTGTTCACATTTTTTTAGTTGTACCATAAATAGTGAAATAATACTGCATTTGATGATTGAGGAACTCTCCATGAGGGTGTCAACAATATACCTCAAACCCTTGGTCATTCTTAAAAAAAATTAAAAGCCTTGGAAAGAGAAATCATACCCCTGTTTATGTCCCCTTTAAATTAGATATTGCTTGTTGATTCCTTCCTTTGAAACCAGATGGTTGTTTGACATTAAAAAATTAAAAGCCTTGGAAAGAGAAACCATACCCCTGTTTATGTCCCCTTTTAATTAGATATTGCTTGTTGATTCCTTCCTTTGAAACCAGATGGTTGTTTGACATTATCTTTTTTTGTGTGGTTATGCCATTGTCAAAATGAGAGGAAAAGAAATGAAACATTGGTTTGACTTCATGTTGTTATGCAGATTGGATGAAGAATGCATCCAGCCCTGTCATCTTTAATTTTTAATTATGATAAAACAGTAGATATTTTAGCATTCAATTACCATTAGTTATTGTTTGTCTTAGTAGGGAAAGCAAAGTATACCATGTAAATTACAACTGAGGTACAAAAAACTTAGACTGGCGAGTGTGATTAAAAAAATTGCTCTTCAAAACTTAGTTTTCTTTTACCTGGAAAGTAAATGATCTTCTCCATATGCATGTAATGTACAAAGATTGAGAACTGAAACTGAATAAAAACAAAATTACATGAATTTTATTGTTCACTTTAGACTGTATGCATAGTCAGTGTACTTAGAATGAAGGGAACAAAGTAAACTTGCCATTGCTTAGACATGATGCTAAGTGAGTTCTCATACTTTGAAAATGCAATAGCAAAAATCCCACAATCACTTCCATTTGTTTGCTGCTGCACTGGCATAGGATTAAGAGCAACCAAACAGACCCCCAACAAGTCATTTGTTTGTTCTTCAACCTCTTGGGTTAAAACAGAGTCATGATACAGGTTGTCATAAAGATTGATATGTCCCAGATCACATCCAATCGAGCTGACACACACCCAGTGACTGTGACCAGTGTGCAAAATTTGTACGAATTCACCACTGACAACATCAAAATTTCTAACTGGGCCAAGAGTTGGTCACTGAAAGCCTTCTATGCTTGAATTCTCACCATGCAGCAAAACTTGAGCTTGGTGAATAATGTCACAGTCTAGCCATCCAGTGGGACTAAAAATTAAATCAAAATGGGAGTCAGTTAGGTTTCCCAGTGAACTTGACTTGCCACTGCTGCCGTGAGTGACTTTAGTGATAGAAATATCACTTTCCCCTTCACCACTTGAGGAATCTGATGAAGAACAATACTTGGTAAGGGTGGTGGCTGAATGGAAAGTGGCACCTTTGTTGCATTCAGAGCATTTCCAGGTTGTCTGATAATTGTTGGGCATTCTGTTTAAACCGAGGCAGGAAAGGTGGAAAAATCTTCCATTTTTACAGTTGTCTCCATGGCATTCTACAACCTTCTCTGTTGTACTACACTTAGCCTTGCAGATGCAAATGTTGTCTAATTTTATAGCTGCCTGAATAGATGCTGTGATGTCCTGGTACCACCTCTTCTCTTGAACTGGGGAAGTCAAGCGCAGTGAGGGCAATACCAAGTCTCCGGCTTTCTCGTGGCGGTGAGCGAAAGACAGGAAGGGTGAAACCTTTTGTAGGAGCAATTTTCGTTACTGCATTAAATGGTCTCCTCATGTCTGATTTTCCTGAAAAAACAAATACCATCCTTATATGGTAATTTGGGAGGCACTGTGCATCTTCGGGTATACCATCGCCCTAGAATTTCTGGAAGAATACATGTTCTCCAAAATGTTTCCAATTTGGGCAGTACTGAGTTCCAATGCCGCACATCTGGATATATACGCAGTACTGTTAAATTCATGCTCTTTTTCCCATCAATGGCACAAACCACAAACTCGCAATACTTGATTCCAGGCACAGAGAAAAGCTGCTGCTGCACCTGATAGTAGTCGCTGTGACTTTTTCTGAGCTGTAAATGTCCATTCACTTTTTCTAAGCAGGAATTCTTGTGCTGAGCAAAGTTCTCAAAGTTGCCATCTTTGATTATACTCGGGCACTTCACTTCACCACATCCAGTGCCATAACAGACACATGAAACTAGAAAATCAGGAGTGGCATGAAGAAATTCATGTTGTTTGTAAATAAACAAGCCACACTTCTTAGCAGCTAAGTTCACATGACCAGATTTTACAGCAGCTTCGTATGCATTTGCAGCATCACTTTCGTGCCTCTGACCATGCCTGGTAGCTTTAGTGTTAACTATGCAGAGGCTTGGGTATCAAATTGTTTTAATCAGAGACTGAGAGGGCTGCACAACATTTGTGTTGAATGTTGCGTAACTTTCAGATGCACCAATTCTGCCAGCACGATGTCTAAAAAGTTCTTAACCCCCTAGCTTTATGTGCCAGTGATGAGCTGAAAGAATGGTACCTTCTCTTTCTGGGATGATCCAAATGTCAATCAGAGGATTGTTCATCTGTTGCAAATTTCTTTTTTGTTGTTGTTGTATTTTATTAATTTTTATTAATTCAAAGTTACATACATTTTTCCTAAACAAACATAATTCACATAAACAGACAGACACGGTACATCATATATCTACATACACAATCCACAGTTCCTCTTAGCTCTCCTCGGCTTCTAAATATAATACTAGTACAGTGCAGCAACAAACATGAGATTCTATATCATCTAATAATTTTTGTACTTGTCGCATTTCATATTATGAGCTTTTAGCTTATTATTTGATTTTGCGATCATTGTCTCGAGTTGGTGGATCGTTTTAATTTTGAGGTTTAATACTTTAATTGAAGGGAGAGATTTGTTCTGTCGGCAAGAATATAAATACTGTTTGGCAATTATTAAAATATGATTGATTAATAATTTGTCTTCGCACCTTAAAATACCAAACATTATATCTTTTTCAGAGAGGTGTTTTATCTTTACGCCTTGATTATCGAACCACTTTATTACCTCAGCCCAGAAATCCTTAGTATAACGACAAGAAATAAAAAAGTGCTCCAAGGATTCGTTCATTTCACCACAAAAGGAACACGCCAGGGATGGAATAATACCAATTTTGTTTAAAAAAAAATTTGTGATAAGACACCTGTTAAGTAGTTTATACTGGAATTCATGCGATTTTGTGTCCAAGGAAGTACGAAATGGCAAGCTGTAAATCTCTTTCCATTCTAAAACATCATTAACAAAATGAGTATTAAAATTCAGTTGGGCAGTCGGTGGAGTGATGATTCTATTTCGAAGTTCTTTATATATAGTCTTTGAAATGACTGTTTCAATTAAAACGTTTTTGTCATTAAAACTTAATTTAATTTCGTTATACAAATTGAAAGGCTCGTCAGCCGTAGAAGCAAGCGTGTTTAATGATTCACGCCATTCAACTGGTAAGGCGTCTATTACAGAAATAAGTCTAAATATATCTAATGGCGAGGTGTTTAATTCTCTCAACTTGTAATTACTTTTAACAATAAATTCGTTATTGTCCGAGATTAGATCCCCTATTCGAAGAATTCCTTTTTCTGCGAGATTTTTAAAATACACAGATTTGCCACCGATACAAATAAATTTATTATTCCACACAATAGCTTTTGAAAGATCTTGTCTATTTTGATCCTGTATACTTGTGTGAGTTGCTGCAGAACATTTTGCGAAACTTTTAAAGGATTCTTCATAAAATGCTGGAAGCTTTATGGGCAATTTCTTCAAATCAAAATCGCAACATAAAATAAGTTTACCCCCCACAGGTTCAAGATAATGCAGTACAATTTTTTTCCAATTGCTTGGTTGATCGCTTGCCAACTTTTTGCAACAGAGGATTCTCTGAGTCTCTATTATAGAATCTAAATGTGGGGCTTTAAGTCCCCCATCTTCAATGTCACCACTAAGAGCAGAGCGTTTGATTTTGTCCTTCCCCTTCCAGATAAAATCGAAGATAATTTTGTTCACATCTTTCACAAATTCCCTATTTACTGATATCAAACTCGCGCAATACAGGAAAATAGGAATGATAAAAGTTTTGACAATTTGAATTCTTCCGATAATCGTCAAATCCCTCCACCTCCAAATTCGTAGTTTTTGTTGAATGGAACTAATTAATTCATCAACATTTAATTTTTGTTTCAATCGAAAATCATAGGTGAAGTGCACTCCCAGAATTTTAACTACTTTTTTAATTTTTAAGTTGCATGAAACGACATTGTCTTGTTGTAGAGTAGAAGAACAATTACCCAATATCATTATTTCTGATGTATCGTGGTTAATCTTCAGGCCTGAACAAGTCCCGTAATCTTCTATAAGTTTAAGAAAGTTCACAAGCGAAAGATTATCTTTCAAAAAACCAGTTAAATCATCTGCGAAAAGGCTTAATCTGATCTCTTCATTATCTACCTTAATACCATTAATATCTTTACTACTGCGTACACTAATACAAAGAATTTCTAGCGCTATGATGAACAGGTAAGCAGCAGAGAGGGGGTCTCCTTGTCTCACTCCCCTTTCAACTGCAAAGGGCTGGGTAGAAAAACCATTGTTTATGACACAACTTGAGATGTTGTTGTAAAATGTGTGTATCCATTGCAAAAATGATGAACCAAAACCAAAAGAGGTTAGAGCGCGAAATAGAAAATCTCTACTGACAGTATCGGAGGCCTTTTTGAAATCTATACAAATCATTCTCCCTTCAAGATTATACCTTTGTGAGAATTCCATGACATCTTTTATCGTTCTGACTGCGTCGAAAATAGTTCTTCCCTTAACATATGCACATTGATTATAATGTATGATGTTTGGTAAGACCTTCTCTAATCTTTTTGCAATAGCTTTTGACCCTATTTTTACATCCACCGGAACAACCCCTACAATTATCCTATGCTCTTTGTTAACAGCGAAATGTTCAATGTTTTTATTTAAATTTTCAAAAAAACGGCATTGATCCTGAACCTTGTTGGGAGCATAAATATTAACAAACAAGAATAATGAGCCTTGTACCTCAGCTTCCATTATAATTGAGCGGCCCTCGCTATCCAAATTAACGGACTTAACGCTAAAATCAAGGTCACTTCTCACTAAAATCATCACCCCACAACTGTGATTAGAACCATGTGCAGAATGAAGCTTACCTTGCCATTGCGTCTTCCAGATATCTTCAACATCTACAGTACTGTAGGTTTCTTGAAGGAAAATGATATCGTACTTTCGTTCATTAAGCCACGTGAAAAGAGCTTTCCTCTTTGTTGGGGAACGAATCCCTCGAACATTAAGAGAAAGTAATTTAAAATTTATATACTCCTTCTCGAATGGGACAATTCAATCAACTAGTTACGTATACAAGTATCTCGCGTTGCAACTGCGCATAAATTAATATGTGGTACCGATGGAGGTTACAAGAGGTTTCTACACAACAACATGGTATACAAAAGAAACAACAAATAAAAAACGTTACACAACAATGTCTTACACAAAGATAATAAATGGCAGCTGAGTAATTAACACCTATAGAGCTGCCTCGGAGATTGGAACAATTATTTAGATTCAAATGATCTCACGCAACCTCCCGTTATACTGAAAAACAACTACATCAAATAAATGTAAAGGGTTCAATCTGTAGAGAGACCGTTCCTAAAAGAATCTAAATGTTCAGTCTACAGAGGAACAAACTGTCCTTCAGTAAACAATTTATTGGGCTCGGGTTTGCTAAAGAATACTATCTTTCCTTCTTCCCTCGCTTTCTTTAGCCTTGGCCATTGCCTTTTTCTTCTTTGACCGATTTCCTTGGGGAGATCTGAATAGACCTTTACATCAATTTCACTCTCCATCTCACGGGCTTTTCTAAAAACCAGCTCACGTTCTGGAAACTTCAAAAAACGAACGATAACCGGCCTGGCTTCTCCCGTCTTCTGGTTGCAAATTTCTCACCTTTGCCACAACAACAATCTTGTTGCGAATCTCTGCTCCTTGAACTGAAATTATGAAGCCGGACACCGCTTGCTTGTATGCTTCAAGACTTTTGAAAGCTTTAAACTGCTTATTTGTATATTAACTTGTCTCAAGAACTAAATAGGAAAGAAGGTCCGAGACTTCAATCGGGGGCAAACATTCTGAGTGGAAATGCTCCTTTGGAATGGCTGCTGGATCAATACCGACCAAAGAAATTTTCTTTAAATATCGCTCTCGAACATGGCTTTCTAGGCCCTCTCCATAGCTCGAAAGCATGGGTATCCTGAGAAGAAAATTCTCTTGCACTTCTGGATTTTTTCACACGAAGTATGTATAGAGCAAAGTATTTGAAAGAGGGCACTATAGAGATGGCACTATATTTGCATGAAATTTTACACCTAAGATGAACACCAATATATCGGACACTTAATTTGCATAAATGTATGACTGGCATTTCTGGACGTCACTTCAGAAGGTTTCATTCCAATACTGCAATGAATTTTCGTACCCATGTCCCAGGGCACATAGGATGTTCTTGAATACTTGAAAGAATTGGAACTTGAATACTTGAAAGAATTGGAACTTGTAAAATATCAATACATTTCTTATTTCTTTCAACGTGCGATTGAATCATTCCGCCACACTTGCTTTAGTAACTCAATATCATTTGCATCAGATGATACACAGACGTGGAACGGTCTGCATATATAGACTTTATGCTTTTAAAATAGACCCAGGTGTCTTGAGGAAATGTATGTTGAAGCCATAATACAAAGACAATGACTTGAAAAGGGGTGGTGACCAGTTCCAAAAACAGGTCCCAGGAGTTGATATAAACTTCAGCCTCTAGGTCTTCTGCAAAGATTTTCACTTCCCCCTTCATATCACATCTTTGACAGACTTCTCTGCACAACCGCCAAACGATTTTGGAGTTCACTCTATCTTTCCACCCTATGACAAGACTCGTGATACAAGATACGAAACTCATGATGACAAGCAACAAATGAATTTTATTTGTAACAAACAAACAATTTTATTAAAAACCGTCAAGAAAGTAAGTAACTTTATTTCAACTCAGGTTAGTGTCGTTGAGCGTAATTCATCCAGTAAGAATTCCACACTTTGGCACCAATAAAATATGTATATTGTAAGCTAGAGGTTGTAAACCATGAAGGGGCACCCTTTGTGGTAGACACCTTTGAGCTCTCGCATCAAGCCTTTTCAGTTTCTGATTATCAGACTCATTACAATTGAGCCAAATTGCAGGACAGTAAGTGTAGTAAGACATTACATACAAGTTGCACAGGCACATTTTTGAGGAAATTGATTGCATTTTCTTTAGCTTGTTCAAAACATCTAACTGCTTTCCAACTTTCTTAGTAATCTTGGCAATGTGTTATAATAACTGTAATTTATAATTTCTATAATTTAGAGAGTTATTGAGATTTACACCTAAAAAATCTAAATGGTCTACGACTAGAAACCTGCACATCATTAATACTAAAGGAAAGATCGCTAGGATAGATTTTTGGAAGAATGAAACTGCCAAAAGATATGGTGTTCCCCTGTTCGGAAAACAAGTTGTGAATATTTGAAAACGCGGTACTCACGCATTTTCTGACATTTTTCTAGAAGAAAATCTAATGTTTTCCTGTCGTTTTCGAGTCAGCAAATTGGAGTATTCATTCCATTATCCAGCAGTTTTCCTTCACAGTTAACTCTATGAAAACGATTGTTTCCTGGAGTTAAGAGCACAGTTAACAAATGGGAAAACAGTTTGTAATTTGTTGTTTACTCGTGTTTTTCAGTAACAAAACATTATTTTCACAGAAGTTTTCAATGTATTTTCTTCCATTTTCTAGGACAGTAAATGCGTAGATAACGCTTGAAAACCACGTGTTGTCCAACTTTGATGGGTTGGTTAACATAATGAAATACAAAGTTTTCTAACGTTTGTAGTTTTTTGCGTTGAGAAGATGGGCTGTTATCGGTGATTCACTACCCAAATGTGGGTATTCCCATGCATTTTTTCGTATTTGCCATTCGATTATTGTGCAGAAAATGGTATGTATTCCTATATTCATTGGTGTTTACACTGTTTACCATTTGGACATTTATATATATATTTACTTTTCTTGCTCCTTATAATTTCCTTGGCTATAGGCTCCCTTGCTTTAGAGCGATTTCGAAGAGGTTCTACCAATCGCTGCATTCACTGTGTAAATTGAATGATCTATTGAACTACTTAGAATAATTCTCTCCCTTATATGACACAAGTAATAAAAGCCTTTACATGAAATTTTTCAAGTTTTTTTTTATTACCAATTAAGCAAATTAGTATTCATCTAGTTACATCATTTCTTAATTATACAATTTTTACAAATATTCACAGCAGAGAAAACCTCAAAATCAAGCATTTAGAAAATAATTCTAAAAGTATCAGCAGAAAAAAATGCACTCTTACTACAATATTAACAAAATTGTATGTCTAACCCTTAGCAAACAAATAGAATCTGTTTCATTTTGGTCAATAAAATGAAACTTTTAAATGACACGAACAAACCTTGCACAAAACTGAGTGAAATATGACATCTGTTTACCACCTGAGGTATGTAAACTTGGGAAAATGTTAAAATGCGCATGCGTGAGATCTGGATAATTATATTGGGACTCAAACAGGCAGTTGTAAAAAAAGCTTTTACATGTATCATCAGGTTCAACATTTGGAGCTGTTTTCTTAATTTTCTTAAATTTCACAATCATACTAAAAAATTTTCTAGGCTCAAATATCAAAGTTTGAAAAATTCTACTCTTTCTTCACCATCCACAAGTGTAAAATAGCTTTTGCAGTTGAACTTAGGGAACATGGCAGGGCTTCCAGCAGGAAATATCTCATATTTAATCAAAATCAAGGACATCCATTAATCACTGCTTTGTTACACTGGATCCACTGTGACCAAAATTGCCTAGTTACACTAACAGCGTTCATGGAAAAAAGAAAAAAAAAATTGAAAAGAATCACAATTGAATAACCTAGAGCAATTTATCTGGCACTTCATTGTGACTTCTGGTACTTGGACGATCAACATGCCTGTTTACAGACTGTCTCCTTTGTTGGGTGGACATACTTGCCCTATGCCGCAAGTCCAGATCTTTGAAAAAAGAAGAAACTTCTTTGGCCCTCCAGACGAGATGCTTTGTTGCAATGACTCAATCAATTCTGACTTCTTTCTTTCTTCAGTTAGCACTCTCAGTCTTGTCTTCAGTTTCTAGGATACAATATGAAAAGTGTTAGACTTAGCAGACTTGTAATTAAATAAACAATAGTTGTGGTTAGGAGAGATAACATCATTTGAAATAGATGTTTGTCTCTAACTCACAACACTTAAAGACATTTCCAAAAATGCTTAGCTCATTGTACAACTAACATAACATTCAATTTTCAATATCAAACTTAGCTCAAGCAGAAAAACACCAGTACTGCCAATCTCCACAATCACATAAGGCATGGGTTGCACTGTTGACTTTTTATGTTTCTGTTGCGCCATAAGATGTCATGCAAATATGTTGGGACATTTACGCCACAGGGGTCAAAGGGGTCGCATGTTTGCAACCTTAGGTGATATACAATACCAGTCTGGTAATTATTTAAATTTTCACACGCATAAACAATTTTGTCAGCTATGAGGCTGGTGCTCATTTTGTTGGTGACTTGTCTCCAATCTCCTTTTAATTTCCTTAATCTACAAGACCTTATTGGTATGTATGCTTTAAACAACAGTCACTGATGGCAAATGTTGGCTATTGCTGTATATCGACACAGGCAGAGGCAGAGAAGAAGACAAAATTGGCAATCGAGATATTGGTGTTTACGGCAGCCACAACAATCATGGTTCAAGATATATTATAATGATCACAGGATTCCTGATGATTACTTTAAGCAGCAACTCCGGGTTTGGAGAGCAACTTTCAATGAGCTTTTAAACATGGTAAATCCACATGTTGCAGACAAGATACATACACAGGAAAAAAATTGAGAGATTCGAAATTTGGAAATGCATTGGTTTTTCATTGGTATAATAGTGGAAAATCAATGGAAGATCAGTAAAAAGTCCAACATTGGAAAAAAAGATACACTTTCCAACCTTGGTAAGTCAAAAACTAAAAATCCAAGGTTGGAAGGTCAGTTTTGTATTACCAATGTTGGTAAACTATGTAATAGTCCAACATTGGAAACAGAGAAATCCAATGTTGGAAGATTATATGTTATATTACCAAGTTTGGTAACCTACATGATATTCCAACATTGGAAACATAGAATTCCAAAGTTGGAAGGTCATAGTTGTATTACCAATGTTGGTAATCTATGTAATAGTCCAACATTGGAAACAGAGAAATCCTATGTTGGAAGGTTATATGTTATATTACCAAGTTTGGTAATCTATGTAATAGTTCAACATTGGAAACAGGAAAAACAGATTATAGGGTTAATATTTTGATTATCATTAATTACCAAACACTGAGCTATATAATATTCTAAATAAATAAAAATGTATGTCAAGCACAGGATACAAGGCATGTTACCATATAGTGTAACATCACTGAATCATCATGAACACAAATTCCAGTTTAACTCGATATTTTATTTCTGGAGGTTGAATTTCAACTTATCTCTTTTGCACTAAAGCGATATAGCAACTAATAATAATTATTGGTAGCTCATATTTTTCATAACTTTTGAACTAAACAAGCCATAGAGCAAACACATTAAATAAACAATCTTTTTGATATCTTAATCCCCTTCATTTTCTGACAGACTTGATGGTGTGGATGTATCAGTTCCATCAACTGATTCAGTAGAATTACCTGAAGGTGAACTACTTAAAGCCTATTGTTTCTTAATGTTCTCTACACGCAGCTTTTCCACAAGATCTTTTAAAATTACAATTTGTTCTTGTTCCAACTCTTTGTAATTTACATCCGGATTTGTAGTACCGACATATCCCTTTTGCACTAAACTGATTGCAACATTAACTGCTAAGTCATATTTCCCTTGGCCTCTCGTCTTAATCTTCAGGAGTTTGGCGGCAGGAGCTAAGTGCTTTTTAACACTTAAATTTCGAAATGTCGGAACACGAAAGATAACAGCGCACACTAACTGTGCACTGTAATTAGAGATGTCTCCAACAGTATCAGCAGTTTCCGTTGATTCTGGCTTGGATGTGTCTGTCACAGCTGAAATAGAACATTAACAGCAATTAAATAAAATCATTAATTTTTGCTGTGTCTTTAAACATAAAAGTATGGGTAGGTCATCAATGGGGGACCTACTATGCTATTACAGCACAATATAGATACAGTGTATATAGGCAGCGCCTGCCTCCAAACCTAGCTAGTGGCTCATCATGCTGGCTGTTATTTCAGTATTAATTCCTGTTTCAGTAGCAGGAAGCAACATAGGGGTATGGCGTCTTCCCCCTGGTTGGGATGCTACAAATTGTATGTAGTTTCACTGCAGGAATACCAAACAACAGTTTGTTAGGTTCCTCCAGTACCAATAATTTATACACCTCAGATGTAGAATGAAAAGTGCCTTGTCAAAGGATTGACAACAGGTACATATGGGTACTTTGTCCAACTATCTCCCTCTTTTATGGATGATATGACACTGGCAAATTTAATATGTGGCAGGTCATTGAAACAGTATTGATACAAAGCAATGTTCGGAGTGGACACTTACCAATCATACTCTGACTCATATCTTTGAGATCTGAGGATAATGAAGCTTTTGCTCTCTTGGCTGTGGTTCTAGTTTTCTATCAGGATAAAGATAAAAGAAAGCTAGGGTGGCTGTATGCATCATGTCATCATTGAATCCATCATCATGGTATTGGCAAAACTAAAAATCCATATGAGAACATTTCCTTGGCTGGAAACCTTATTAGCTCTTCCATCAATCTCTGACACAGCATCTAGTAATAATAATTATTGTAATGTATGCTTCAGCTTCATGGATATTACAGCTGTGTATACAAATAAAAAAATACCTCAAAGTCATATCTGTCACTGATTTTTCGATTTCTCTCTGAAGCCCATTGGAGGATGTGGTGTCTTATGGCACCTAAAATAAATAAGATGAAAAAGAAGATTTCATGACAAAACAAGACTACCATACGATTGATACTGAATTAATTTTATCCTATGTGGTAAAACTGAAGCTTAGCTGATGATAATGCAGTGCTGTAAGTTATTCTTTGAAAATTATATGCTAAGAGTTTGACCAGTCAAATATTGTTCTGAGATTGGAGTATTCTATATTGTAATGCACCTTACTGGCTAAAGACTAGAAGAGCATAAAATGGTTTATGCCAGTTAAAACGGTTACCATATTTTGTCTAATAAACACTCAATTCCTTTCTGAGTTACTTTGGGGAGGCATTAGGTCAAAACTCAATGACTGAAAGGCAAGCCAGGCAGACATAAATTTATTGTTATATTCTTAAAATAACCAAATGATCTGAATAATTATACATTCCCTCCATCCCCAAAAACCCCAGGGAGTAGAGGGGGCATTTATTTGAGTCCTGTGGATTTCGGGGCATGCTAGCATAATTTTTGGTAACCCAAATATGTCATTGTTTAAGCTATTGATATGGAAATTTGTTGAAGTATCATGAGAGCTATTTGCTTGTCCTTACTTTGGCCAAATCCTATTTTCTTGATCTCACAGACAGGCAGTAAAGATGAACACATTTCTGATAATACCAAACTGTTGCCATTATTACTTTTAAAGTATATCTTCTCATTCCCTGCCCACCGTTTCCCACATTCCTTTCTGATGATGTTTATCCTGAGAATGTAAGAAACAGTGTAAATTAAATTAAAGAAAGTAAATAAATAAAAAAA